GACAGAAGTTTGGAGGGTTTAACATAAAATCCGTGGATTTTCAGCCATCGTGTCCAAACTTTTCTGCCGTTGCAGGCGTGCGTTTTAATCATCCCCTCCGCCCTTCTTCTGGAAGCTTCACCTGCTTATGGATTTCTGACTTTTTTTAAGTGGATTTCTCAGTCAGCTTATTGAACGACTGCCGACTGACTCTCAGCATTTTCTCCGTTCTTTACACAAATGTGTACGACACACTTGTTGTGCTGTGGTGCATCAGTTACAACATTTGAGTCAGAAAGCTGCTCAAATGTTGTTCGCACAGATGCCACATCGAGATTTGACAAACTCATTAACCATTCATGTCACATGTCAGACTTGATCTTCAAGGACTCTAATATCCTGTTGCAACATCCCGGTGAAGCAGATAAATGCTTGTGCGTGTGTGTGTGTGTGTGTGTGTATGAAAGCACATTTGGGTGATTTAGCATGTGTTTGTCCGTCCTGTCCAGATGTGCAGGAATGGCTGAATGTTGTAATGCTTCCTGTTTTGCAAACCGTCTGGGGTCAGCCGAGGGCTGTAACGTTAGGCTGAATGGAGTCGGAGTTCACACAAAAATAAACAGGAGGGGAAACAAAATGCAAAATAAATGAACGTCTCATTAGATTGAAAAGTTCTTACACACCTGTTTACATGTTTTGCAAGCGTCCCCTAAATCTAAAAAAAAAAAAAAGAGTTTTATTTGCATCCTGTTTGTCGTATTTCTGCATGTCACTTGTCAGGAATGCTATAATGATTGTCTTTGCAGCACACAAATAGGCACAAAGCCACCACTGGAAGTACACACATTGCTGTAAGTACAGATATTTTATAGTGTAAAACCAGTGACGCTCACCCACACCAATATATCCTGGGACAAGCGTTTCGTGGCCTGAGGAAGGTTATCGTGGCTGTAACATATGTGCGCACACGTGCACAGGACAGAGACAGATGAACTCCGGAGGGAAGGAGGAAAGAATAGAAATGATGGTCATTACTCAAACCTTCATTCATATTCTGCAAAAGTGAATCCCTTCACTGGTGACGACACACACACACACACACTCACACACACACACTCACTCGTGTGCCAGCAGATACACAAACCCTCATTTTTCAGCCACGACACAGAAGCACACTTTCAAAGAAGGATGGGATGTTGCCACACAAACACACACACACAGAAAATAGCAGAGCACTCCTGCGAGCACTGAGCCATTAGTGTATCTATGGGGAGTTTGTTTGTTTCTAATGGAGAGGGAGTCAAGTCACTCAGGAGAGAAAACCAAGTGGACAGCAGTTATTTTCTCACTTTTCTCACTCGCTGCATCTGCTACCCATCAAACCATCCTGCGGCACTCCTACCTCCTGCTCTTCTTTTCAAGCTAGCGACATTTTTTTTGTGATTTTCATCAAATATAATCAAAAAGACAAAAAGTTGAAATGGATTCACCCACCAGCTCGTTCCTCGTCCTCCGCTGAGGTTATAAATCTATTAAAGAAAACCCATAAATGAGTCACTGTTGCACTGAGCGTCACTGTCTATCATTAGAAGCAAAGACAGGCACTGCGATTCATTTTGAGTCAGTCCTTCGTACGCGGCGCTACAGACCCACTGAATATTTGTGTGCAGCTGAAAGCAGTCTCCATCCAAACCACTTGAAGCCCTGAGGACCGTGTAAACATCTGGCTTTGCTGCTTTTAAGGGTCAGGAACGTGGCTCCTGAACAAACCTGACAAATCAAAGGGCAGAAATTAATTTTAACAAGCTTTGACCTGACCACACTCAACGGGACAAAAAAAAACTAAAAAAGGGGGCAGTGGGTTTTTTGCGTATCGATGTACATTTGTGTTGCCTCACCATCTGTCCTCTTGTTGTGGTGCTGTGGGCAGAGCATGGCTTCCAAAAATAAAACGCCTGCTCACTTTCCTCCTTCGTACCAAAGCTGCTTTGAAGTCTGTCAGTTTGTTTTGTCTCTGACTGAGAGCAGAGTCACATTAAGATGTTGGCCTGTGTGTGCACTTACAACAACAGCCTCAAACTTGCTGACTCTCATTTCAAGCGTCTGAGTGGGCCGTTATGAAAGGTGCCTTGGCCGGCTCTTCAGAGCACGAGCGTGTTCACGAGTGTCGAGCACAGGCAGGTGGATCCACACACACGCCGTTTAAACCAAATCAGTGTAACTCATCTGCACCCTGGGGAGCAGCCAGCCCTGACAGGGATATTTGCATCCCTAATTCCCTTAACGCTACTGCCTCTACGTCCCCCCCACACGCCAGCTGGGACCACCGAGGGCAGAGGCAGGACAGGAAGTCACACGCGCACACTCACACATACACACGATAGACCGTATCCAATCAATTTGACGCCAATGTTAAACAAAGCTCCCATTTAAG